GCTATAGTTGTGAATAATCTGGGCAAAGTTTCTCTTTAAGAAATACATTAAAAGTGCTGAAAAATTTACATCATAGTTCACAAACAAGAAATTGTAATATTCAGATTGAAGTATAAATAAAGGCAGCACTTTTTTTTAGCTTGGGATGAAGTGGAAAAGGATTAGAACACCTATTAGGTTTTTATTGCTGTCTGTGCCCCCTTTAGGGAGAGTCACAAAAAAATACAACATTTTAGGTTATCCCCAGAAAGCAATAGAGGGGAAATCTTCCAATGGTGACACTAGTTCTGGTGCAACCCCAGGATCCCCTTATTTGGAGGGATTTCCTCTCACTTCCTGTTTTGGCTATGGGACTGGAAATATAGGAACATTTCCTCACAGGGGCACAGATGGCAAAAAAAACTGACAGGGGTTATAAGCCTCCCTTACTCAATCCAAAATGAGAAAAAAAAAAGTTTTGTCTATAGTTCTGGTTTAATAGAAAAATAGCTGCCCGTACTTGAGATAATGGGGTCAATTCAATAAGAGACAGATGAATACTGCAGGAATTTTTGAGTTAAAATAACTCATGCAGTATTTATTAAAAGTAGTCAATTCACTAAAAAACATGCATTATTTACTGAATGTGTTACCTGTTTATTTTGTGATGTTTATCATTAAATTTAGCTTTCTTTTTGGTGTTTTTTTTTGCAATTTTTTTTATATGCCAACATTGCACCAGAGGAAGAAATAAATGCACAGAAATATTATTTTGAAAGTATGAAAACATTGCAGTATGCTTTCATTCATAGAACGATCTCCCTCCGGTGAAATGTTACATTGCATACATTTATGTACAGCAGGGTCCAGTCTCACTGGATGATATTCATAATGGGATTCCTAGACCTCCAATTTGACTGATGCGTTTCGAGGACTTGCCTCGGAGGAAAAGCAATTCCTCAAAGTGCATCAGCCAGTTGAAGGTCTAGGAATCCCATTATGGATATCATCCAGTGAGACTGGACCTTGCTGTACTTTATATGATGTGCCCTTGACATTGTATCCTTTGGGATTATATTACCACTCCTTGTCACATATACGCGAATTGGATGCGTTTAGGACGTTATCCGATTCGCATGACGTGTACCAAATCGCCTTTTTATGGAGCTGGTTCACATAAGTGAAGGCCAGCGGCATTGTGTTTTTTTAAAAGTCATTTATGATTTTCAGTACAGTTCAGGAATAATTTCAAGTGTCCTACACTTTATAAATTCACACGTGAATCGCTGAACAAAACCGCACTAAAACCGGCCCCGCACATACAGTTAGGTCCATACATATTTGGACACAGGCACAATTTTGGCTTTTTTTTCATGTATTTACCAAAACATATTCAAGCTATAGTTATATAATGGATATGGCCTAAAGTGCACACTCTCAGGTTTAATTTGACGGTATGTACATCCAAATTGGAGAAAGGGTTTAGGAATTAGCTCTTAAGAACAGCCATCCCCCTTTTTTCAAGGGACCAAAAGTAATTGGACAATTGAATCAAAAGCTGTTTCATGGCCAGGTGTGGGCTACTCCTTTGTTATTTCTTCATCAATTAAGCAGGTAAAAGGTCTGGAGTTGATTCTAAGTGTGGTATTTGCATTTGGAATCTATTGCTGTGAACCTACATCATGCATTCAAAGAAGCTGTCCATGCAAGTGAAATAGGCCATTGTAAGGCTTCAAAAACTAAACAAATCCATCAGAGAGATAGCAGCAACATTATGAGTGGCCAAATCAACAGTTTGGTACATTCTGAGGAAAAAACGCACTGGTGAGCTCAGGAACATAAAAAGGCATGGACATCCATGGAAGATAACAGTGGTGGATGATCGCAGGATACTCTCTATGGTAAAGAAAAACCCATTCACAACATCCAGACAAGTGAAGGACACTCTCCAGGAGGTGGGCGTATCATTGTCAAAGTCTACAATCAAGAGAAGACTTCACGAGAACAAATACAGAGGGTTCACCACAAGGTGCAAACCATTCATATGCCTGAAGAATAGAAAAGCCAGAATAGACTTTGCCAAAAAAAATCTAAAAAAGCCAGACCAGTTCTGGAAAAGCAATCTTTGGACGGGTGAAACTAAGATTAATCTGTACCAGGAAGACAGGAAGAAAAAAGTGTGAAGGCTTGGAACAGCTCATGATCCAAAGCACACAACGTCATCTGGAAAATATGGTGGAGGCAGTGTGATGGCATGGGCATGTATGGCTTCTAGTGACACTGGATCATTGGTGTTTATTGATGATGTTACAGAAGCAGCCAGATGAATTCTTCAGTGTTTAGAGATATACTGTCAGCCCAGATTCAGCAAAGTTGATTGGACAGCCTTCACAGTACAGAATGATCCAAAACACACTGCAAAAGCAACCCGGGAGTTTTTGAAGGAAAAGAAGTGGAATATTCTGCAATGGCTGAGTCAGTCACCTGATCTCAACCCAATTGAGCATGCATTTCACTTGCTGAAGGCAAAACTAAAAGGCAGAAAGACCCACAAACAAAGATCAACTGAAGACAGCTGCAGTTAGAGCCTGGCAAAGCATCAGAAAGGATTAAACCCAGTCTTTGGTAATGTCCATGGGTTCCAGACTTCAGGCAGTCATTCCCAGTAAAGGATTCTCAACAAAATATTAAACATTTTATTTATGATTATATTCATTTGTCCAATTACATTTGAGCCCCTGAAAATGGAGGGACTGTGTATAAAAATGGTTGCAGTTCCTAAAATTTGTACTTGATATTCATATCCAACCCCTTGAATTAAAGCTGAAAGTCTGCACTTCAAATTCATTTGGATTGTTTCTTTTTAATTTATTCTGGTGGCATACAGAGCCAAAAGTATGAAAATTGTGCCTGTGTCCAAATATATATGGACCTAACTGTATGTGAAACCGGTCTTAAGGCTTTCTTCACGCTGATCTGACCATGTAATCCTATGGAACTCTTCACAGTGATCCACTGCTGGTCCGCTGAGTGTAGTAAAATCCTGCTTGCCGCATTTTTGGTGTAGTAAAAAAAAATGCACCAAAAAACAAACCTCCCCAACAAAATGCATGGAAAATGTGGCAAAAATGCAAACAAAATGCACCAGCATTGTGTTTTTGAGTTACATGTCCTGTGTAAAACACACTGCAAATGCAGTAAAAAAAAAAGGCAGCAAAACTGCATTTGCATTTTTAGCTAGTTTTTGCTATGGATCAATGTCAGAGTAGCCTTAATGAGTTTGTTTGCTGGGGGGGGGGGGGGGGGGGGGGTTTGCAGTATTTTCTTCACATTCAATATTATACTTAGATGAATTGACTCTTTATCTCATGTAATAGTTCTGAAAAAAATGGGTCACATGACTTTCATATCACAAGCAAATTCCTTTAGTAAATTGAGCCCAATGACTGAAGAAGCAGTTCATTACCAAAATCCACTTGTGGCATCTGAATCCAAGTACCAGAGTGTTCTAGAAAACGATGTAAATAAAAGGAAACCAAAGATCCAGCTCTAGAGAACTGCCCCAATAAACTGAACAGAAGTCTGTAAAAACTATTGAGCATAATCAGATGACTCCCACACACCATGTGACTTCACTGCTATACTAAATAAGCAGCACCCTTTTGGCCCGGCTACACCTTATTACACAACAAACATTGGTCAACTTTTGGCCTCAGAATAGTCACCAGGTCACTGTTCCACAACACTCAACCTATAAACATGCTCCAGGCATCTGGTAGCCCACCTGTTCCATTCTACCCACATGTCGTGCTCCAACCACCTAATGGCCCACTTGCCCCATTCTAACCATCTGGTGACTCACCATGCTCATGCTGACCACCTAGTGGCCCACCTACACCGTTCCACCTAACTTGAGGACCTGCTGTGTTCTATTCTGATGGCCCACCTGTCACACTACCACCAACCTGGTCTCTTACCAGCTGTGCTCCAAGTGTCTGGCAGCCTACCTGTTCCACTCTGCCCACCCAGTGGACCCACCTGCCAAGCTATGACTTCCCGCTGGACACACCAGGTCTTGTGTGCAGTGCTCAGACTTATCTGGTCTCTCACCTGCCACACTCCAAGCATCTGGCAGCCCACCTGTTTTACTCTGCTGCCCTGTTCTATCGACCTAATAGCCCACCTGCCACACTCTCAACCCCGTGGACCCATCTCCAATGCTATGACCACCCCGTGGACCCATCTCCAATGCTATGACCACCCCGTGGACCCACCTTCAGTGCTGCGACCACTCGATGTTGCACTACGACTACTTAGTGGCCCATCCATCCTGGTCTCTCACCTGCTGCTCTCCAGGTGTCTCTACCCACCTAATGAACCAGCTGCCACACACTGTCCACCCCGGAGGACCCTCCTGCCACGTTCTGCCCACCCGGAGGACCCACCTGCCGCGCTCTGCCCACCCGGAGCACCCACCTGCCGCGCTCTGCCCCCCCGGGCACCCTGCTGCCGCGCTCTGCCCACCCGGTGGACCCTGCTGCCGCGCTCTGCCCCCCCCCCCCGGTGGACTCCCTGCTGCCGCGCTCTGCCCCCCCCCCCCCCGGTGGACCCTGCTGCCGCGCTCTGCCCCCCCCGGTGGACTCTCCTGCACGCTCGCCCACCCAGACGACCCACCCGCCGCGCTCTGCCCACCCGGAGGGCACCCACCTGCCACGCTCTGCCCACCCGGAGGGCACCCACCTGCCACGCTCTGCCCATCTGGTGGCACCCTCCTGCCACGCTCTGCCCACCCGTGGACCCTCCTGCCACTCTCTGCCCACCCAGTGGACCCTCCTGCCACACTGCCCACGCTCCCCAGCTGGTAACCCCTGAGTGACCCCCCCAGCACTCTCCAGCTGCCTCCTCCCCTCCCCCATGTAGTACGTGACTTCTCCATGGCACTCCGTACAGCAGGTGAGTACGGGGTCCCGGAGACAAGAAGAGCCCAGCGGAACCCACACCTGCCAGAACTGGGGCCTCACCTCGTTATCGATGAGCTCTTCCGCTCTGGGGTCAGAGTGCTGCAACCGCGGGATCTGTCGGCTCTGAAACTGATAGGAACGTAACTGAGCCTCATTCCACCCGGGGCTCCGGAGCTCGGCCTCCCCACCACCGGCTCTCCTCGTCTCAGCCACCACCTCAGCAGCCGACACCCCGGCCTCCGCCATCCCCCGGCGGCGCACAGACTTGCCCCAGCACAACAATCACCGATCTACAGCCCGGCCCGACGAGGAGCAACGACACCAGCGCTGACTGGCCAGAGCGGCAACCTACTACACAGTGCCCTCCAGCGGCACCTAGCGGGAGACTGAGGATACTGCCTCCAAGTGTACAGCTGAGACTTTCCATTGTCTGCTCAGCCCCCTACTGCTGTTGTCTATTCGTTCATAGAATATTGGGGGAGGAACTGAGAAAAAACATATACATACGAGGTTATGGGATGGGGGGAAATCAATCGAGGTGGCAGAATAAAGAACAGGGCTCTTACACCTAATACAGTAGGAAGGTCTGTTCATGTGACCAGGATCCATGGAATCATTGGGGGCATTCAGAAGAGCTTTTCAAACCAGGCACAGTAAAGATTAGTTATGGACTCAGAGTCGGTGGGCTTTAGTATCAAACCATTTATCTTAGATTGTAAACTCCCAGGAGCAGGGCCCTCCTATCCCTCTTGTATTGAACTGTATTGTTGCTGTATTGTCTCCCGTTATATTGTAAAGCGCTGAGAAAACTGTTGGCGCTATATAAATCCTGTATAATAATATCAAAAGTACATCAGTGACCAAAATACATGAACAACCTCTTTTAACTATACAAAAATAGACAAAGTGTATAAAGAACATCTCCATGAACCTCTACTAAACCTCAAATACTCCCATACATGGGAGCCTCGAGATGCCATCTACTATTCAATTGTTATGCAAACACATCAAACATTCCCACTGCTACTTATCATGGAATAAGACTTCTAAAGTCCACTGTGATCAAATGGATCCTGTGTAAACAAAGCGGGGTTCAACTCAAATGCGGAAGCTCCACTTATTTGCCCCCCCACCAATGCCATATTTGACACCTGTCGTTTTTGACAGGTACCCACTTTCGCTTCTAGCTCATTTCACCAAGGCAAAGTGAGCCAGAAGTTGGGCCCTCTCCTGCCTCTCGCAGTCTCCTGGGAACTTTCACAGCTCCCAGAAGACTGTCGGACAAATTAGGAAGTGCGCATGCGCAGTGGGCACCAGGCTGTGAAGCCTCAAGCTGTCACAGCCTGGTGCCCACAGTAGAGATGCCGGTGCCATGGAGGAGAGAAGGGTGAAAACATTGCAGTTGTTTTCCGTGGTCTTCCGGGTCTTTTGGTGTTGCTGAGCTCACCGGTGCGTTCCTTCTTTTTAAGAATGTTCCAAACAGTTGTTTTGGCCACGCCTAATGTTTTTGCTATCTCTGTGATGGGTTTGTTTTGTTTTTTCAGCCTAATGATGGCTTGCTTCACTGATAGTGACAGCTCTTTGGATCTCATCTTGAGAGTTGACAGCAACAGATTCCAAATGCAAATAGCACACTTGAAATGAACTCTGGACCTTTTATCTGCTCATTGTAATTGGGATAATGAGGGAATAACACACACCTGGCCATGGAACAGCTGAGAAGCCAATTGTCCCATTACTTTTGGTCCCTTAACAAGTGGGAGGCACATATGCAAACTGTTGTAATTCCTACACCGTTCACCTGATTTGGATGTAAATACCCTCAAATTAAAGCTGACAGTGTGCAGTTAAAGTACATCTTGTTTGTTTCATTTCAAATCCATTGTGGTGGTGTATAGAGCCAAAAATGTTAGAGTTGTGTCGATGTCCCAATATTTATGGACCTGACTGTACATTAGTTTCCGCTGACCGCGCTACTCTATTTATTGTGTTGTGCATTTCAATAGTGCTGACCGCTGCACATTACATAGACTTGACCAAACTGTTTATCACCTCAACAGTTGCTGGTTGCCAAGTAGTGTCTGTCTATTGAAGTTCTTTTTAAAGTAAACTAAGACAAAGTTTTTGCTTTTAGTTTTTCAGAAATCGCCACACTGTAATGCCTCTTCACTAGGATTTTTGCCACATATAACAACCACCAACTCATTAGCAGCCACAATAGATGTCACAGTACTTAGCAGGAAGGTTATGGTCAAATGATGTTTTCTAAATACTTTGCGTCAAATGTGTTTACAGTGTAATTACAGTTTTTCAGTGTATTCTCTGCAAGAGCTGTCGGGTTGCCACACTTTAACCAATTCAATACCGGGCAATTTTACACCTTCCTGCCCAGGCCAGTTTTCAGGTTTCAGCGCTCTTACACTTTGAATGACAATTGCGCGGTCATACAACATTGTACCCAAACTAAAATTTTATCATTTTCTTCACACAACTAGAGCTTTCTTTTGGTGGTATTTAATCACCACTGGGGTTTTTATTTTTTGCTAAATTAACAAAAAAAGACCAAAAATTTTGAAAAAAAAAAGTTTTTCTTTGTTTCTGTTATAAAAGTTTGCAAATAAATAATTGTTCTTCATAAATTTAGGCCGAGATGTATTCTGCTACATGTCTTTGGTGAAAATAACCCAAATTAGGATGTATTATTTAGTTTGTAGGAAAGTTATAGAGTTCACAAACTATGGTATAGATCTGAATATTGATCAGTCCTGAAGTACTGATGGCCAATCTAATTTCTTGAGGTCCAAGAATGTCAGAACAGCACAGATATCCCCCAAATTACCCCTTTTTGCAGAGTAGACAGTCCGACGTACTTCATAAGAGGCATGGCGAGTTTTTTGAAGTTGTATTTTTTTTGTCATAATTTTTTGGAAAATTAAAAAATTAAAAAAATTAGTTTTACTATCTTTTTTTTTTTACATATTGTCACCAGTGCAGTACAGCGTCATCATATAACTGGCATGGTGGTGATCAGGGACACTGACTGGTGACAGTATGAAAAAAAAATATATGGTCTCACGTATTATGTATATTCCTTCTCACTGGTCCTGGAGTCATTCCTGACACCTCCCCCCCCCCCCCACTCTTCCTTGGTCCCCCTCGGCCTCTCCCCAACTCCTTAAGTATCTCTGGAGAGTCTCTATCCCCAATGAACGAACTCTCTTTAGCACATTGTTACCTTTTCCTAAAATAATCTCTGTATGCCTAGAGTCACAAGCTTGTTTGCATTGCACTTTGTGTTTGACGTTTTCTCTCCCTATTTGTTTAAAGACATGTCTGCTGTGTACATTTTTCTCTGTATTTCACGGACTGTACAATGTCTAATGCCAATTGTCTATGCCTTTCCCCCTATGTTTCAAACTTAATAAAATGTTTGAACAAGAAAAAAAAAATATATATATATTTTTTATTTGTTTTTCTTATTTTTTATTAATTTTTTTTTCTTTTTTTTAAGATTCTTTTTTCATATTTCACTATGACCAAAGTAGTACAATGTTACCATAGTAACATTGTACTACTTTGGGGAAGTGATCAATATTTTTTTTTTTTTTTACACAATTTGCTTATAACAAAGAATTACTTTGCTATAAGCAAGTATTTACCTGAATGACATCGATTCATTCAGGGTTTTTTTGGGGGGGGGTTTTTTGTCTTAGCTGTGATTTGGCCACAGCTAATCAAATGACATGTGCATGTGACTAGCTGTGACCATTCACAGCTAGACACTAGTATACAATGGATGGCATGAATGAAGCCATCCATTGTATACAACTGTGATTGGTCACAGCAGGTCACATGGTACCGGCAACGGGGGGCCGATACTCAGATCTGTCATCGGCCGTGTCCGAGGTACATGGCCGGTGACAGATCGCGCCGCTCTGCAGGAGCGCAATCTGTGCATGTGCGGGAGGATGCCATATGGCGTCCACCGGAATGCTGATGACATTTGCCGCCCGCCATTCGGCCATAGGGCGGGTGGCAAATGGTTAAAGTGGTTGTGAACCCTCACATATACCCAGTGAAGTGACTGGCCTCAAGTGATACACGGGGATTAAAAAAAATCTTCCGACATAAGTTGTACCTGTTTATCTACTGCGGTTCTCCCCTCTACATCCATTAAAAGTGTAGAATTTACACAGGCTCTCTCAGCTCTGAAAGTGGAGAGAAGTTGAAGTTACATCAGTGAGGAGAGCTCTGGGAGTTGATTGGAGAGAAGGGGCACACCCCCTTCACACAGCTCACAGGAACAGAGCTGGGGCTATCAGTCCATTGGGGGTCCCTCCCCGTCACCATTTTTCTCTTGGTGTCAGGAAAACTTGTCAAAAGTGATTCATGCTAATAGCAGAGGAAAGAGGCAGCAGATAGAAATAACACTTGGTGCTCTGGATTGAGATAAGCACACAATATAGAAGGATATGCTTTGTTCGTATTACATGTCTGAGGTTTACAACCACTTTAAGACCCCATTCACAGCTGGGCATTTTGTATACGGAAGCTCAAAGCTCCAAAAATGCTCAACATCTCTTGTATTATGAAGGTGACTGTTCACATATGAGTGCTGAGTGCTTAGATGCCTGTAATTCAAATTATGAAGCTCCAAAAGCTGCATCAGCTACTTTTAAGGCTGGTTTGGGTGTCTTTGGTCCCATAGATGCATGAAAACAATCAAACCGAGTATTTTCCAGTGTTTTTTAGACATATTTGGCATTTTTGAGCCTATAGGAACTGGTCTTCTGCCTTCATGCTTTCCATTGGCTAAAACAAAAATGCCTGAAGCGTGAATATTAATGTAAAATATTTGAAATAAGCCTCTAATAGGCTTGTATATGCATGCAAAAATGCTCAAAAAACACTGAAATGAAAACACCTGAAAATGCCTGAAAATCATTCTGCAGCCTTGAGTTCAAAATGGCACATTAGCTACTTTTGAGCTACAAGCTTTAGGCATGCAAAACATGCAAACATGCACAAAAAAGGATGAGAGTGCACATATCGCACATTTTCCCTAGTAATTAGCTTTCCCCTGACTTCAATAATTAAAAAAAATTGAAGCCTCAGACATCCACAATAAAACCTGTCCAAAAGCTAAAAAAACTTACAATACAACCAAAGGTGCTCATCTCAAGTGTGAAGGCAGCCTAAAAGTTGTAGCCAGCTAAACAAATCTATAAATAATTTTACTAATAAAC